ACCTTTAGCGACTTTCTTGATATTGGGTTCGCCATAAAGTTACGCCAGTTCGTGGTTCATTCTTCTCCTCTACACACCATTTTCATATACCCTGCCAAAGATGGTCCTAAGCACGCATCGTTCGAAAACTCCCAGTGCTCCTCAAGCATTGTCCATTGTCATATTTTTCATGCACAATAATTTTGTTTATTATATATTTGCAGTTCGTCAATAAGGTAGAAGACTGGCAGCCCAAAACTTTCCGCATTTTTGGATCATCTGTAGAACAGGCAGAGATCTGGAGGCGCAGCGATCACATTGTCATGATTGTCTGGTAGTTCACTCAAAAATGCTATAACAATCGCCAAGCTCGCTGTAATGTCACCAAGTGCCTCGTCACCCACGAATAGGCGCCTATGTCAGTGGTCTAACAACTCTTAGCGCGCTAATGGCATAGTTCCCCTGCCGCATAGAGAGTTGCCGCAATGATATTAGGTTAGCTAAGGTCAGTTAACTGACTGGTGGGAAACGGGAGCTTCAGCATTGACTATTATGTACGCATTTTTATGATGTTATCTAACAATTATGGTGTGTAGTGTTTACACGATCATGTTTCTAATTCTAATGTGTTGTAAATATAATTGAAAGCATTTGAAAAGTAAGATTCTAGTGTTTTGTATATCTAAAAACATTAGTAAACATCTACATTTGAAAACATTCAAACAACGTTTACTTTAAACGTTTTGTACATCTGAAAACATCAGAGAACAACAAACACGAAGTACAATTAAAAACATCCGAACAACGTTTAGTTCTAACGTTGTGTACATCCGAAAACATCCAAAAAAAGTTTGGTTCCAGCATCGGGAGGCATCTACGTTAGAAAACATCAGAATACATTTACATATAAAAACATTCGAACAACGTTTAGTTCTAACGTTTTTTACATCCGAAAACAACCGAAAAACGTTTGATTCTAACATCAGGAAACCTCTACATTAGAAAACATCAGAAAACGTTTACATATAAAAACATCCGAAAAACGTTTAGTTCTAACGTTTTTTACATCTGAAAACATCCAAAAACGTTTGTTTCTAACATCAGGAAACATCTACATTAGAAAACATCAGAAAACGTTTACATTTAAAAACATCCGAACAACGTTTAGTTCTAACGTTTTGTACATCCGAAAACATCCTTAAAACGTTTGGTTCTAATGTCAATAGATTGAAATTTTTGACGTCAGACCGACATTAGAATGGCAAAATTTTGTTCCAAAATTTCTGATGTATACACCATGTTACGTTGCTTAAATACAACTAAATCATAATGTTTTCTAATGTTTGACATCAGGCATACATTTGATTTCGATGCTGATGTAGACATCAGAATCAAACGTTGGGCTAATGTAAATTTCTATTCGGGACACCATGTCCTCCTTCCCAGGAACGACGAATCCTGGCGGCTGTCGCATGAATACCTCCTCCTCAAGTGAATCGTTGAGATAGGCCGTCTTTACGTCTAGGTGACGTACGTACATATTATTATTCGCCACTACTGAAAGGAGAGTTCTGAACGTTGCTTGACACGTGACAGGCGCGAACACATCATCCACGTCGACTCCGGATCGCTGGGCAAAACCTTGCTCTAGCAGCCTGGCCTTATGCCTCACCACTTGGTTTTCTTCATTCCGTTTTTCCTTGTATACCCATCTCGAACCGATGGCCTTCCGCCCTTCTGGCAACGGGACCAGCTTCCAAGTTTTGTTCCGTCGATGAGACTTCAGCTCGTCAACCATAGCCTTGCGCCACACATGATCTTTCAAAGCTTCTCTATGATCGATCGGTCCTTCAATAGCACACGCTGCAAAAACTATGGCATACTGTAGATTATAATCCTCCAGATGTCGTGGCCGTGTCCCAAGATTCGGCCTTTCCGAACGACGAATGTTCGAACTGGAACTCACTTCAGCTTCCTCAGCTTCGTAGTAATCTTCGGACGAATCTTCAAGCACTTCTTCCTTCTCTTCTTTGAAGGGGATCAGTTCAATGTCTTCTTCTTTTTCTTTTTATGCTGTTACACTTTTCTTCTTATTTTCAGAAGCTGACACTTCCACCGATGATGAACCATTATTCAACTCGATAAAACGAGCATCGCGGCTCACTGTGGTCTGATCCATATCGAGATCCACAAAGCGGTATGCTTTCTGCTCCATCGTGTAGCCAACAAACGTCAGCTTTCTGGCTTTGCTATCCATCTTCTTACGCTTGAAACTTGACACGTGCACATAAGCTTGACTGCCAAACACCCGTAAATGGCTAAGATTGGGTTTCCTTCCCCACCAGAGCTCGTGAGGGGTCTTCTGGATGGACCGCGAGGGTAACCTGTTCTGGAGGTATGTGGCAGTTAACATTGCCTCACCCCAGAATCGCTTCTCCATTCCAGCGTCCACCAACATACATGTTGCCATGTCAGTGACTTATTTTTGCGTTCGGCAACACCGTTTTGTTGAGGGGAGTAGGGGGTAGTGAATTGCGGTTGGATTCCCTCCTGCTTATAGAACTTTTGCCGTTCTTTATTGTTAAATTCTCCCCCTCCATCGGACCTCACTGCCCGTGGCTTACGACCGAAAAAGTTTTCAACCCATTGCACATAGTCTTTAATGATTCCAGCAGCCTCTGACTTGTGTTTCAGGAGGTAAGTTACCGTGAACCTACTGAAATCATCTACGATAATCATAACGTATCGATTCCCGCTGGGTGTGATGTTCTCCATCGGTCCACATAGGTCTGTGTGTACGATGTCTAAAGTCTGTGAGGATTTGCGTTCGGTAACCGGAGGAAACGGGAATCTGGTCGAATTTGCCTCCATACAACACTCACACACTGATCTCAATCCGCAATCACTTACCCTTATTCCAGTAGCCAAGCTTTCTTTCAATATGCGTTCAGCTGCAGCCCAGTTACGATGACCAAGCCGTCTGTGCCACTGATTTTGGCAGTCCTCTCTGTGCTGACCGTCGGATGCAGCCATCGACGCTTCCGCAGCGTTCAGGTAATACAACCCACCGTAGTGGGATCCGGTTGCGATCACTACACCTTCAGTGTTCATAATCTCACAACCTTCATTGTCAAAGCACACCTTGTACTTCTTCTGTCCCAACTTCCCGACCGAGATCTGGTTCGTGGATAGTCCTGGCACGAATTTGACTTCATTTACTTCAATCTTCATGGCTTCACCGGAACTGTCACACTACACCATTTCCTTCACCCAGGATTTGGGTCTTCTTGCCATCCGCCATAGTGATGAATTCTTCCAACGACTTGAAAAAGGACCGGTCGTTGGTCATATGTGCTCTAGCACCACTATCGATCACCCAACCACACGATTTTTCTTCTCTGATGGTGAACGCAACACCTCACGAATCACTCTGAGCAGCTTTAGCTTTGTCGGATCTACCACCACCGGCACCGGAAGAATCACCTTCCTTCCTTTGTGTGGCCAGGAACTTCCGGCAGTTTCGCTTGATATGGCCGGCTTTCTTGCAGAAATGACAAGTGCGAGAAACACCAGCTGACTTACCTTCTGCGGATCGCATTGCTTTTTCGATCTGAACAGATCCACTTCCTCTTCTTTCAAGTTGTCGGTTGTACTCATCCATGAGCTTCGATTTGACAACATCGAGCGAGATGTTATCATCCGACCGACTGTCCAGAGCCGTAACTAAACCATCGTACGCAGCTGGCAGACTCCGAAGCAGCATACATATCTTGGTGTCTTTATCCAAGGTTGTACCTGCAGCATCGAGCCGATGGAACAAATCGTCGAAATCACGCAAATGATTTTCAACGTTACCGTTTTCCGCGAGATTTGACGCACACAGCTTTTTCAAAAGCGACACCCGAATCGACCGCGTCGTCTTTTGATGATAGCTCTTAAGAGCATTGTACGTATCGAGCGCGAAAATACAATTTCTCACTAGCGACACTAGTCCACACCTTCTTGTAGGTCCCGATCGTTGGATTCTTTTTGATAGGTGTTGTTTTAATTTTTGAATAACCAACGTGATTTATTTTTAATTAGAATTTCTAGTAACCTTACGACCATCAGAAAAACGAGTTTCTGGTAGCCTTATTTGCTGTTTTGTTTCGATTCTGCGTTCCGGATCGTTCCATTTCATTTTTCATATGCTATATGACGTTTGAGTACCGTGCCGATTCAAATTTCGGACACTTAAACTCGAATTTCGGACACTTTTAAAAGTTGATTATCTCGGTCGAATATGATCCACATGTCTTGTAAATTTTAATTTTTTTTGACTAGTGCCCTCCACGATCATCTAACATTATTACTTTGTTTCTAACTGGATGTAATATTTAATTAAAAATGAAAGTGTCCGAAATTTGAATCGTCCGAAATTTGAATCGGAACGGTATATGTACGGTGAGCAGATTAACCGGTTTCAAACTAAAAAGTGTTCAGATTAAAAACGGTCAGATTACCGGGGGTTCACGGTACTCAAAATCAACCGCTTTTTGTTGTGTGTATGCTTAATTTCACGAAAAATCCAGCAAAATGCGTTTCATAAATCATAAGACTAAGGAATCGTTTGAATACATTCAATTGAATACAGCCAATGGTTGCCGTGGCCATAATTTTTCCAAATTGTGGATAAAATCCAACAAAATTAAAATCGCATAAAAACATAATTATTGAGTGTCTAAAAGTTCGACGAAACCCCAAGAAAAAATCTCATTTTCCCGGGAGTCAATACCTGTTTATTCCCTACAAAAATATCGCTGTCAGCCCTCCGGTAGCTTTGACAGTCAGACTTTTCGTTACTTAAATCTGCCATTGCCAGATTCACTGTCTCTTTCCCACTCGTACCATTCGCATACGAGCCAAAGTGAGACAACCGCAGTCCCATCGAAAAGTGCAATCATCGCAGCAAAAAACGGTCAGCAAAAGAAACGAACGAAAAAAAAAATCAGCAAATATCAATCGATAAACAAGTAGCGATACACTCCGCAAGCATATTCGTTCGATCGTCGTCGCGAGCAAAGCTTTCGTGGAAGAAAAAAAATCAGTTCTTTTTCGGACAAACGGTCGCAGATTCCGACGGAATTTGGCCCGTTCGGTGTTCCTAAACTCAGTGAGGCGACCAAAAATCATCAGAAAAAGTGGGTGCGTGAACATTCCGTGATTTTTCCCGTTTTCGTGTTCGTGGGAGTGGAAAATCAATTTTTTGCCCATCGTCCCTGCGCTTACTGCAAGAAGGTAGTAGCAGCAAGCGAAGAAAGGAAACGGGAGACTCCTGGTGCGTGAGGGTTCGGTTTTCGGTTTCGATTCGTGTAGCTCCTCCGGTTGGGGACCACCTTTTGGCCGTTTTTTAGTCAGGTTCTGAAGGAAAAACGCAAGCTAAAAAGGGTGAGGAGAATGAGAAGAATATGCTAATTAGAGTGCTGGCTGGGCGAAGGGCGGCCACCTTTTCTGCGGCAGCAGTGGTGGCAGAAGCGCAGCAGTGATTTTGCAATCTTCCCGCAATCCGTCGCAAATCCAAAGAAGTGAGTGTGTGCATTAGAGGAGGAAAAAAAAGTGAAGGAAAATAGAATGTCACTTGAGGGTGTTTGAAGCTGAATAAAATATCAAGTGCAAGTGACGTGTTTTTCTATTTTTTTAATATTTGCGGCGAGATAGTGGATTGTGGAAAATAGTTCCCCCCGGATCGAACAACGCACATCGAAAGGACCCAGCTGATCTTTCGCCTGCAGGAGTATTTTCATTAAAAAAAAAAGGCAGAGCCTACGCAGGACAGGAACGACGAGTTGAGTTTGGAGGAGGAGTAGCAGCAGGCCTTGGCGAGCAGTTGCCGTCGAAGGTAAGTGGAAGAAGTCATGGAAATGCTCGGGTTCCTTTGACCCAATTAGTACAGGCTGTAAAATTGGCATTGTTGTGAAAGTGGCGGCTGGGGGATGACAAAAGTTATATGATTGTATTCTACCTACTTTGCTTTCGATTAACCACCAGCCGAGAGACAAAGAGCGAATTTTTACAGTTTTATAAGATTGCTTCAGCAGGCAGATGGAGTTTACGGTTGAGAAACAGCTAGAAAATATGTACGGCCTGAAAAATGACATAATCTGATTATAATACCGATTTTATTTTTCACACGAAGGTCGCATCAAACTGGGCGTTGAACTGGTTCATAGTTTCGGTTTATCGAGTTTAATCCAGCTGTTTGTTTTAATTTAACGGACATGAACTAGTATTGAGTAATTTGTCATCATTGACGAACTCAACAAAGTTGCAAAATATCTCTATTATACCGTTCACTTATCTTCGGTTCATAAACAATGGTCTCAAGTCAACGGGAGTACCCCATTTGGCATAATGTCGCTTGGTATAACTGCTTTTTTGCATAATGCTTATTATTACTAAGTGGGTCATGGTTTAGATCGAGTTGCACAAATACGTAGGTGGTACGAGCTCCAATCTGTTGTTAAAATTTGAGGAGAAATCGAGAATTTTAGGAATGTTCCATAGTAACCACATGAAACGAACATCTTAGAAACCTAGGTATAATCAAGCTATTTGACACAACTATTTTCCACAATGATTAATGTTCTGACCTCCGAAGTATATAGACCGAACAATCAGTCTTTTTTTTATTGGAGTCTGTCGAAGTCGTAGTTGAGAAGCATCAATGCCTATCGTTGAAGTCGATTTGCAGTGTGCAAAGGAATGCCCTTCTTCGATCCAAAGATTGATAACAGCGGTTTGTGATCCGTGAGCAGAATGAATCTGCGCCCAAGGAGGTACTTGTGAAACTTCGTTACCGCATATATTAGTGCAAGTGCTTCTTTTTCCGGCTGCCCTTAACTTTTCTCCGCTGGAGTGAGGGACTTAATGCGTGCTGGATTGCCTTCAGATGTCCGTTCGAAAATTCATGGAAGATGACTGCACCGATGCCCGTGCTGGAGGCGTCCGCTGCTACGATGATTGGTAACTTCGGGTCGTAATGCGTCAGCAACATATCGGACTGCAGAACTTGCTTGAATTGCTCAAAAGACCGTTGGCAATCGGAATTCCACTGCCACTTCGAATCCTTCTTGAGTAATTGGTCGAGAGGATGACGAAGTTCATGGATGTTGCGCACGAATCTGCCGTAGAAATTAACGGCTCCCAGGAACGATCGCACTTCGGAAACATTGGTGGGTGCCGGAATAGAGGCGATGGCTTGAAACTTCTCTGGTTCCGGACGGATGTCGTTTCGATCGACGATATGTCCCAAATATCTGATTTCGATTTGGAAGAAATGGCACTTTTCCAGCTTGACATGGAACGCATTTTTCCCTAGACGTTGTAGTAGCTTGTCTAGTGACGCCTTGTGTTCCTCCCAGGTTCTTCCGAAGATGATAGCGTCGTCGAGAAACGACCGAACACCAGGAATGTCGACTATCATGCTGTCAACCAGTCTTTGGAATGTTCCAGGCGCTGACTTCACCCCTGGAGCGAGCCGGTTGAATTGGAAGAGGCCTCGATGCGTGTTTATGATGAGGAGCTTCTTCGATTCTTCATCTACCTTCACTTGCAGGTATGGTGCTTTCGTGGAGCTGTGCGAAGATCTCCTCCGGGGTAGGTAGAGGATAGTGGTTTGCTTCAAGCGCTTCATTGAGTCCCGTGGAGTAGTCCGCACAGATGCGAACTTTACCATTCGGCTTGCGTACTGCTAAAATCGGAGCGGCCCACTCTGAGAAATCGATCGGTGTGATGATTCCCAGAGACTGAAGACGTGTTAATTCTGCATCCACCAGCGGAATCGTGTTGAACGGAACTGGTCGCTTCGAACAGAAAACTGGTTTATCGTTCGGTTTGAGGAATAACTTTACCTTGGTTTTCTTGCAGTGGCCCAGCGAGTCGTCGAAAACCGCCGGATACTCGGCTTGCAGCTGTGCTCTAGCTTCGGCGAAACATGGTCTGGATACAGCAGAAACTTGATTGCAGAGAGTGTTCGCAACAGCGAATAAGTTTCGAGACGACCCTGCACCGCCGCTGGCACTGTAAACGTCCTGAGTTTACCGACCGTCAACGCATCAGCAGCAGAAAAAATCTCCCTTCCTTCCTCCTCATCCTTTTTTTTACTAACCCCGAGATAGCCGCGGGAAAACGGCCTCCCTACTAACATGACAACAACCAATCACAATCAAGATTGTATTCTTTAGTACACTTTTCTATCCTTTTTGCGTTGCGCAGTAACAGCCAATCAGCAGTGGCTGATCAAATATTAAAATGTTTAAAAGTAGAGTACGCACCAAAAACTTTGTCATTCGCTGCCAGACTGTTGAGCAGTTCAGTCGATTTGAATTCTCTCTAGTTTCGTTCGTTCGTTCGCAAGTCGAATTAGCTCCGCGTTGTATAGTGACGCTCTCGCTGACCCAGCCATGGGTAAGAAATCGCGCGGTAACGCGAGTGCCGGCTTACCGGGAAAACAGACTCTCCCAGGAGACGGCGCGACCACCGAGCCAGCTCAGAAGAAGCAGAAGAAAACCCCATTGCCCGTCCCGACAGGCGTTGCGGACCCGCAGCCGGGGCCTCCCGGAACTAAACGACCCAGACCTGAAGACATCAGCGCCACCGCATCGGCAGCAAAAAAGCTGCTGAGCAACAATCCGTTCTCCGCCCTGCAGAACGGAGCCCAGCCGCAGTCGGACCCTGAGACGGTGCCTAAAAAAGTTAAGTTGCCACCCTTCTATGTGAAGGGCTTCCCTCCCGGGCTATGGGAGCAGCTGGATTTCTACATTAAGCAGGGCCTTCGCTGCACCATTCAACGGTGCACGGAAGGCTACAAACTGATGGTCTCGGCCGAAAATCACTACAACGCAGTCCAGGCCCTCTTGGACAGGATGAAGCTGGAGTACTTCTCCCACGACGTCGAGGCCACCAAGCCGCTGAAAGTGGTGCTGCGCGGGCTCCACGACATGGACACCACCACCTTAATGGACGAGATTAAGGCGAACGGCCTCAAGCCGGTCGAAATCCACAAGATGACCCGCAGCAAGGCCATCAAGTATCGTGACCAGCTCTACTTGGTCCATCTGCAGAAGAACTCCACAACCGTGAAGGATCTCCATACGACACGCACACTGTTCCACATCGTAGTGAAGTGGGAGCGGTATAAGCCAACCCACCGTGGCGTCACTCAGTGCTCGAACTGCCTATTGTTCGGGCACGGCACCAGGAACTGCCGCATGGCCAGCCGCTGCATCAAATGCGGCAAAAACCACAAGATCGACGACTGCGACAGCATCGAGGAAGCCGCTCCCACATGCGCCAACTGCGGTGCTGCCCACAAGGCCACGAGTAAGGCCTGTCCGAAGCGGGCCGAATACGCCGAGATCCGGAAGAAGGCCTCGTCCAACAACCAGCCCGGTCGCAAGAAGGTCCCGGAAAACAACGCGCAGAACTTTCCTCCGTTATCACCGGTCCAACCACGGCCAATTCCAGTGTTGGCGCCGCTCCCGCTCAACCAACAGTTGGCTGCTGCCCAGTCGGCTGCCGCTGCAGTACCTAGTCAAGCCTCCGGCCCATCGACGGATCCCCCTGCTCCGGGATTGGCCGGTACAACCGGTGAAGCTACAGACGATTCTCCGCTGTCAACGGATGAGATCGTCACACTGTTGGCCCAGGCCATCATCATCAAGCGCACCTGCGCAACAAGAACACAACAGCTCCAAGCTATCATCTCCTTCGTCGCTAATTATGGACCGTGAACCCATAAAGATCGCCAACTGGAACGCTCGCTCCGTAGGGGCGAAAAACATTGAGCTTGCAGACTTCCTCCGCAAGCACGACATCGACGTGGGCCTCCTCACCGAGACCCACCTCAAGACCGGTGACAGCTTCTGGCTGCCCGACCACAGCATTGTCCGGCTTGATCGCACCAGCTCCAGGGGGGGCGGTGTCGCGGTCATCATCAAGAAAGGCATCAAGTACTGCACCCTACCCCACTACCGCACTTCCATCATCGAGGCCGTCGGCGTAGAGGTGGAAACATCGACCGGAAACATCCGGTTCATCGCCGCCTACTGTCCCCGGCAATGTACCGTTAGCAATGGTACAGCACAGCAGTTCAAGAACGACCTTGCCATCATAACCCGCACCAATGCCCGCTTCGTAATCGGAGGGGACCTGAACGCCCGGCACGAGGCCTGGCGGAACTACCAGCAGAACCAGAACGGCCGCCTGCTATTCGACCATTCCCAGCATGGTCTCTATTCCGTCTGGTTTCCGGACGAACCAACCTTCACATCACCGACGGGCAACCCATCGACGCTGGACCTGTTCTTGGCAAACACCAGATTAGCCAAGCCGGTTGCCGTCAACGACCTGAGTTCGGACCACCAACCGGTGCTGACCGAGCTGGGCTACAACGTGGCCCCTGCACCGTGCCAGCGGAAGGACTACCATCGAGTCAACTGGGTCCAGTTTCGACGCGTGGTCGACCGCCACATCGACGACAACCCACCGCTCGACACAGTGGAGGACATCGACCGGGCCCTGGAGGGTCTCCATCAAGCCATATCCGTGGCTGACGAAGAGTGCGTTCGACGAGTTCCTGTGAGGGGTAAGTTTCAAGCAATTGATTCCCACACCAAACTCTTGATTCGGCTCAGAAATGTTCGTAGACGCCAGTTTCAGCGGACTGGGGATCTGCAGCGTAAATACGAAATGGTCGATCTGAATCGGCAGATCGCTTCCAGAATGGTCTCAATCCGGAACGAGAGTTTCGGGCGGCTCGTTCAGAACCTGGACGACCGTTCCAGACCATTCTGGAAGGTTGCCAAGGTGCTGAAGTCTCACCCCAAGCCCATTCCACCA